GGAGCCACAAGCTAATTTAATGAATTGTGAATGAGGCTATTATTATTATAAAGTTGCTTTTTTTTCTCTCCCTTCCATTTCCTGCCGCAGGTGACAATAACAAGACGAGGACCAGGACGCGTCATGGAACACCCAGACGTCATCATCGACGGTTACCTGGCGGACATGTGATCCCTGGTCATGTACCATGATGTCCTGATTGGCCACGGGGGGACGGAGGGGGTGGCAGGGGGTGGAGGGGGGCGGGATCTGCACCCACTGGCCGCGAGTAGAGATGGACAATGGTCAAGCTACTGGTGTGTGGCGTTGGATAAGTCCTGGCAAGGGTGGTCACTTTGTTTAATGCTTACGTCACATTCTGTATAGCTCCACCTGCTTCCCTGTGCGGGGATTGGTTTTTTAAATTCATTCACACGTCCACCTCTCGAACAATTAGATTGACAGCCCATGTCGCACAACAAATGATGTCCTAACATCTATTATAAGGAGCTTGGTTTCTGCGTTTAAAAACCCAACACCGCATCAACTAAGATTACATCGCAGAAGTAGCTTCAGAAGAGAAACAAAGCGCTTCCCCAAAAAAAATTTAATCGCACCACAGTTGAGGACAGGTGTAGCCAGCACAAATTAGGTACGTTTGGCTGTGGAGTTACCTTCCATCTATAGGAGAGCCCAAGTTTATGTTTCTTCATACGTTTGACGACACAACGAGGAGGGAGCTTTAGTGCTTCAGTCAGTTCAGTTTACTGGAATGTGCAACGAGTGATATGTGTTAGTATTTTTTAGAATAATTTCCTACGACTACGAGAGACCGCAGTTCATGCTCAGTACATCAGAGATAATCGTCCAATCTTTCAGCTCATTGTAAATGTCAGGCTAGCAATTTGTACAGGGCTCTCTTACTGTTGAAACGCGGTGTGCGCTGAAAACGGAGGCTTAAACCACAGTCACGTGACAGCAGTTAGACGCAATTGGCTTGAACTTTACACGAATTACAAATGGCACCAAACCCCAGTGACATCGACAACGAGGCATATAATCTGAGCAACCGATTTGAGGAGGTAAAAGACCCTCTCTTGTACCTGCAAAAACACGACGCTCTGTGCAAAGAGGCTTGGGAATGGAGCGAGACGGATAAATCTTACGACGCCAGCTTGCACGGAGATGACAACAAGGCAGCGGTGACCTTCCACCCCTTCTGGAGTAATGGAACCGCCGGAATCCGAGCTAACAGACCCCTCGTTGGGGATATCAACTATTGGGAGATTCACATCGGAGACAGGATTTTCGGCACCAGCCTTATGTTTGGCGTCACAACACAGAAAGCGAGGCTCCAGGCGAACGATTTCAAGAACATGATTGGTGAGTACGTCACATTTAGAGGGAAGTTGTGCTCTGCTCGATATATCCACTTCTCTCTCTCTCTCTCTCTCTCTCTCTCTCTCTCTCTCTCTCTCTCTCA